ACCAAATTGGACCAAACTGGACCAGACTGGGCTGAACTGGGCCAGACTGATCCAAACTGGACCAGACTGGGCTGAACTGGACCAGACTGATCCAAACTGGACCAGAACTGGACCAGACTGATCCAAACTGGACCAGACTGGACCAGATCCAGCTCCATTCCGCTGCATCACCTTCTGTCTCAGTGTCTGAATCTTCACCGTGGCAACCAATGAGAACTCAGAGGGAAAGTAGTAACAGTTGGTGAAGATCTGGGAGGCGGGGAAATTCAGAGGTGCTGCCACGGCGCTGGCCAATCGGAGACCTCTGGAACCTTTGGACTGAACCATCCGCACCTGGAGGGGTAGCGGATGAAATATTAGGGGTAGCTACCATCATAAATGTTCATAGCTTCATGCTATCCTGTGTCTTACCTGAGTGGGCGTGGCATGTCCTGGGGGGGGCAGGGCTTTGGACAACAGGTCAAGAGGCAGCAGGTCTGAGGGGGAGAGAGCAGAGATGGGGTGAAATAAATCAAATAAGTTATTAATAATTTAGATTTTCTGAACCGTAAATCTGCTTCCTGTTGTTCTGCTAATCTCTCCTGCAGCCCCAGCAGTGAAACGCCACCAAGCAGGCCATCATCAGACTCTATGAGTGTAACCCTAACGCCACTGATCCCACCGAAACTTCAGTGAAAACAAAGCATGGTTTACTGGAGCCCGATTTCCACCGCAGAGTTACACTGAACCAGCTGTATGTAGCTCGATTTAAATCACCGCAGGGACACGTAAGCAGCGATCCAGGTTAGACAGTTTATCTCCTGCTGCTAATTTCAGATCCCTGAAAGCTGATTTTCATGAAAGCAGCGGCTAGTGAGGCGAGTTTATCAGCTCAGAGCTCATTTCCTCCAGCTCTGACTGATAAGTGTATCTGCAGTTAATCTGTATCAGCGATGACATGTAAATGATCTCAGATCAGTTTATTTTTATCCCCTCAGAGATGGATGTTTCTACGTCTGAAACCTCAGACCTGATCTTAAAAAAAAGCTCAAGCTTTTCAGCTTCCTGCCGAGCAGTCACAGATTTCTGCTCTGACTCTGATGAGGCTCGAGTAAATCATTAAAACATTAAAAATCAGTGTTAGACAGCGGCTGAGGGAGCAGAGACAGCATCAGGTCAACGTTAGTTTTCAGCTGGAATTCCCCTTTAAGCTCCTCTGAGGCCGTCTGTGTGTTTTGTTGCGCTTGAGGATCAATGTAAGATGAATGGAGGATGAATGGAGGATGAATGGAGGATGAATGGAGGATGAATGGAGGATGAATGGAGGGAGGGGACGACATGTACAGAAACAGATCTCATATTTCAAAGACTGAAAACACAGAAGAACAAAGCAACGAAAGCGTCTGAAACACAGCGAGACGTCAGAGTCGGAGCTGCAAAGCCTTCTCTGACATTTGGCATCAGTGAAGTCAGCGACAGGACACACCTCAGGGGTCAGAGTTCACAATACTCAACCTCAGGAAGGCTGCTCACAAAGCCCAGGAGCCAAACGCAGTTTCAGTTGCCGGAATAAATCAGCTGGTAGCAAAGAGAAAGATCAACAGTAATGTCATCAAAAGGAAACATGAAGTAAAGCTGTGTACTCAGCTCTTTAACCAGAACAGAAAGACAGGTGGGAACACCTGAAAGTTCCTCAACTGAAAGCTCCACTGAATAATGCCCAGAAACACGTGATAGAGATAAACTGTGACAACGGAACAAACGTTATCCTCATGTTTTCCATTGTTACGCGACCCTCCTAACCCCACACCAGTCTGGTGACTGGATGTGTTTGGGGGCCTGTCCAGGATCTTCAGCACAACAGAACAACTTGAACAAGCAAGTCATGAATTAAAACTTCCTGTTAGGATACAACAAAGCTTTCAGCACAATGTCTGTCAGTAGTAATATATAAAAAAACTAGCTCAAACCTTTATTTATCCAGTCTCACAAGCAAAAGTCTCTCTTATTTTTGTGCAGATTTTGTGTTTTGTTCTTCAGAAATGAATCTGACCTCATTCTGAAACATGTGACCGTCCCTTTAGAGCTGAAACCAGCACTCTGTATCTCCTCGTACCTGTACAGGGTCTCCAGCTGTGGCTCTGGACTCTGGCGGTGAGCAGCACCCAGGTGAGCAGCAGGAAGTGACACGAAAACATCACGCCTGTGCGCTGTGAACAGTTTGACTCCCGCTCACCGACCCGCTTCCTGTCCTGCGTCTCTCAACGTCATTCTCCAGTTGGCCTGAGGATCTCCTGGGTGGTGTTTCTTCAGCGTCTGTGGTCAAAGAGCAACACAACAAACGTCTCAGATTTGGTTCCTTACAGCGGCGTGTCCAACATTTCCACCCGGAGAACCCAGACGGCCGTCTCGCCAATTCTTCATGAACGCCACCAAGTTCATTTGTGTTCACATAACCTGGCTTCAAACCAGCAAACTGTCTCTTTATCTGTAACTACAGCTCAGCTTTCAGTTTAAAGCTGATCGTCCTGAAATAAAACTGCTAGCTTTATTTTTAGCTAATAATTTATTCTCTTTATTCATATTTGAGGTATTGCAGCTGTATAGTGAATAGTGAAACATTTAATTTGTGGCCTTAATGGTTCAGCAGTTTTTGACTGTCAGCCGTACTTTCACATTACATTACATTTCACTTTATTTCTTATCTGTCATTTTCAGTTAACTTTTAGTTAACTGCCTGTTTAAAATCATTTCTGTGGTTACGGCAGAAGGACCCTTGGTGGGACTCTCCATGTTACACCTGCACCAGGTGGGATTTTCACAGCACTACAGGCTGGTTTAAACTGGTTTAATAAATGATGCTGAACATACAAAACTCGAGTAACGTGCAAACCTGTGGCTGAGAAATATCGCACTGTGTAATTTTACCATCAGACTGCACTATCAACACTTCACGCGGTCACATTGATCACAAAACGATTAAATGATGAGCCAAAGATAAGAACAGCTGCTAAAGATAAAATCATGTGAACTCGTTTCGTTTCTCCCCGTCGTGTAACGAAGCTCGTCTCCTGAACACTAACCTGCTAACATGAGCGTCTGGCCCACATTTGAATCACATGAGAATCTGTGAGAGGAAAACAAAGATGCAAAAGCTTTGATGCACAGTGACGTCATATCTGAGCAAACCTGGGTCAGAGGTCAGAGGTTTAACCAGCCTCCTGAGGTCCAGCTCCAGTCCTAGTCTGTGAAGAGGTTTCAGGACATGCGAGGAGACCTCTGACTTGAGCACAGGTAAGAAGAGGCGGTGAGAGGAGCTCAGAGTGGGGAGGTCTGGCGTGCTGTGACCTCACAGTCTCTGCTCTACCTGTCGGCCGTCCTTAAACCGTCCTCTTCGTCTTTGCTGGACATTTATCTGTTCTTCAGAGAAACCAAAAACACAACCAGGCTCATCATCAGTCCACCTTTAAAAGTGTTCTCAGTGTCTGAGATGAACCTGATGATCTTCAGCGTGTCTCCACCTTCAGGTGCAGACCTCCACCTGTTTCCTCCTCTTTAAGTCCTCCACAGTTTCTCCTTTCCTTCCTCTGAGGCTGCTGTCTGTGCAGCGACTGGAGATGATTTTCAGCTTCAGGTGAGTATGACTGAGGAGAGAGAGAATTTACCTGCAGGTGAGCTGGCCTCGCTCGCCCCACATTTAAATAAAAAAGACTGGGAGGGGCTGAGGAGCGAGAGGGAGGGAGGGGCGGCTGCCTCCTCTTTACCTGTGACACACTTGAACTCACCTGAAGACAAACCTGACAGACAAAGCTGGACAGAGTCCACCTGAGAGGACAGGTGAGTGTTTCATGCAGGTGAAAGGTGTGATTGGTGGAGAGGTTTCTGCACGTTGCTGCTGCAGGTTGGTTCACGTGTTACTGGTCAGAGCAGCTGACACATTTCGCTGCCTCGGTGATCAGATATGATCACTTCCTGTCGGCGACCATGACGCTGATCAGACCAGCCAATGGGTGACCGCACGCTGTGCTAGTCCATCTTTTATATACAGTCAGTCTGTGTTAAACTGATAAGCCCGACCGATATCAGATTTTTAACAGCGATACTGATATTCGGTGATTTAAAGCCAATATTCAGACATTTCGGCCGATATTTGTCACTCTTTTCGTCGTTCTCGTTCCTCGTTTTTACCCTCTGCCCAGGTTGGATCAGCTGTTTGCTGTTTGTGACGTTTCAAACATAAACATGGAAGATGCAGAGCGCCCTCTGGTGGACAAATGATGTAAGGTTAAAGGGTGTTTCTGTTGTCTCATGTATCGTCTGTGACGAGCTGAAACTAACAGAGCAGCAAATAATAATCTGAGCTCTCCATGAATTTGGTGCGGCTCTAAAAATGACGTCATATCGAATTCTTATTATTTTGTGTGTCTCGTGCTGTGCAGCAGTCTGGGTTTGGGCTTGTCAGTCAGGTGTTGTACTAATAAAGTTTGATTATTCCTTCCTACACTGAAACTGTAACTATGAACGATCAGCTGCAGAGTTCGGTCCATGTTTCATATGATGTGAGGTTCCTGCACACGTGCTGCCTGAGAGGAGGAGGAGGAGGAGGAAGAGAAGAAGAAGTGACTGATCTCAAGTCTGCGGCTCGCCCTCAGCTCTTCACAGCACAGGAATTTCCCAGGTGAGCCAGGGCTCCGCCCCTTGCCTGTCTGACCCACTCCCTGAAATCAGGTGCCATCAGACCTGAGGCTGCACACACACACACACACACACACACACACACACACACACACACACACACACACACACAAAAGTACTGCATTCAATGCCAAAAGTACACAGGTATGATCAAAATAAACAGAGATTATTAGAGATTATATTCACCTCCATCATTATTGCTCAGTCTCATGGTTCTGGCCAGTTGTTTCCAGTGAAAATCCTGTAGTTCCTCTGACACCCAGCAGGGGCAGCAGGGAGTCAGTCTCCATAGACAAAGTGTTCTAGTCTCTAGTTTCACCTTCCTA